CACGTGTCCCCGCAATGTGATCCGCGCGCATGCATCGCCGATAAGTGCACTATCGCCTTTCCCTTGCCAGTGACACACGAGACTCGGCACCATACGAGCATTAATAATTTTCATATTCAATTTCAACTTAACAATAATTTAGCGATATGGCGGACATTTGCAGGAATATTGAAAATCGAACAGTCGTTTTCTTTTCTATTCTGTCACAAATACGCACCTCGTTACGCACAAGCGAGAATCTCCGCGAGAGATAGTCACGGGTTCACCGCCCGTTGATATTTCCTATATCGAAAAGGGCAGCGAACTCGAGAAATGAACGACGAATACGCAAATGGGGGAGCACATGATACCACGTGGCAGGTTGGAAAATTCGCACTGACTTTGGCTTCTTCGCGACTTGAGTTTGCTGGCGGTCTTTCCCATTTTCCCGCCAGTCGCATGCCAGCGGCTGCCCGTGAGCGCCGCAGGAATTCCCGCCGGTGAATTCAATCGAGGGTGCACTGCGGGAAGCGAAACAATTCGGACGGCGCGGCACTGACACGGCACGGCTGTAGCACCCTGCGACGCAGCCTGACCGTAGCATAATGCGATACCGAGCTAACTGAGCGCAAACACACTAGAAAGAAGGGACCAGACCGACCCACCGATACGCAAGTGGTGCTCGCAGGAGGAGGAGAACGTGACCGGCAGCGTGAGGAGAGACGCAGAGTGCGGGGGAGGCTGATAGAACGAGAGAGACAGAGAGACAGAGAGAAAGAGAGAGACGGAGAGAGAATATGATATAACTTGCTTGGGACTCTTGGGAGAGAGATAGTTGTACGGTAGAGAAGGAGGGAACCAAACGAGCAAATGGCAGAGACGACTGCTGTTTAACAAACGATACTGTCGCCAGACGTAGTAGCGCATGATGGCCTTCAACTGGTATTCGAGCCTTTACATTCTCGAACGTTTTAATCAGAGTTGAACAACGCGAAAATCCAAAAGATATATTCTTAGATATTTTTTTTTTTACATTTACGAATATGGAATTCCGAATATGGAAACACTGCGTTCAGAATTTGAAATGATTTTTGAACGAGCCGCGTCGAATAATTTTTCAACGAACAATTAAAACCATCCAAATCAGGACATGTAATTTATTTTTTTAACTATTTGAGCCTCAACGGGGGATTTCGCTTTTGGAATCTTGTTATTGTGAAACTCGATAAACGGACCGTGCACTCGATCGCACTTGTTAGTGTCTATTGATATTCCTCTCGATATTCCACGCTTTCCTGAAACGTTGTTCAATGTTTGAGTACTATTAAGAACCATTTGCTCTCAGAACTTTAAGTGTAAAACAACAATAGAGATATAAAATAAAGGTAAAAAAGGAAAGGTAAAAGAAGAATCCTTAAGGGACACTCCTCAGAAATGATAATCTTAGAAATGAACCTGAAAGTTTGCGAGAAAAAAGACCGAAGAATTCCGATGTGGAGGAAGAGAGAGAAGGAGAGAGAAAGAGAGAAAGAGACAGAAAAGAATACGTGCACAAGTGTCCGACACGCAGATGCAAGGCAACGTGATTCTTCCCGAGGAGTCAACTCGTGATGTCATCGGAAACCCGGACTTGTTCCAGCTAAATGCGACTTCACACATTAATCCGAGGTTTCCTTTTTTCTGTCGTGTCAGCAGGTTTCGCAAAGACGCAAATGCAATAGGCGACGAGTTATGGTCTGCAAACCACCTGTTGGACATTTCGACATATATTCCCGGACATGCGTGCATGTCGGTCGCTCACCGAATTCGCGTCACTTTGCTTGATGTCACGTTTCTTATTTGTGAAGTTTATAAATAGAGAATGATACGATAGAGTCGATTAAACCTTAGGTCGCAGAATGGAAAGATCAATGACGCCTTTCTTATCCTCCTTTAATTAATATCAGAGATTGTTTTTCGCTGCACCACAAGCTACGATTGCATTTAAGTTCAAAATTATTTTTTTCAAAATGCAAAATATTTTTGAGCTCCTGGATTTTAGTTGCCGAATATACACGGCGTCGAAAAATTGCTCGTCGACAGGCGATAGCGCTTTCTATAGTCGCAATGAGAAGATTAATTAATACGCCAAGCCCCTGGAAGGTAACGCAAACAAGACATGATGTAGCGCTTAGGCCTTGTTTATTGGTGCTGTTTGTCGGAATACATCGAGTTTTACAGTCAATATTTTCTATACAACAATTTCTGCCGTATTACACATTTTCTCTATACATCATACATACACAGAATAGTTATTTTGTATACACACGTCGACTAGATCTCATAGTGTCATTTTATTTAGGCTCCGAAGGACCGATTTAATGCGAGAAAGAAGGTTTCAACTCGCGACGTATTTCCCCGAATGAGAAACACGCTTGCTGAATAAATTGCACATCCGCTATGAATAAATTGACATTCTGGTCGATCCTTTCTGCTTTCCCTCTTTCGCTCATCCTCTCTGATTGTTTCTGGAGATCTATTCGAAAAATATGGCTAATTAAAGGTTCTATTCTAACATATGACGTTGATCGTTGACATTTTTCCTGTAGGCTAACTGTATTCCGATTTGTCGTAACTGAATCCAATTGTCAGTATGAATTTATAGAGTGGTCTGATACGCAAAGGATGTTCTTCCCTTCAACTAGACTCACATCAATTTACGAGCGATGCTTATCACGTGCAGTAACTGAATATCGGCGATTACATAAATATTTGCCACAGGCAGGCTCGCTGTCAGACACTTCGAAATATTTACAAGCAGATGAAGTACTGAGAATGACACAAAGATATAAGCGATATACTTAACTGATACTTAACTGATATACGATTGTCTAAATATTTTATACTGTGAATTAAGAGGGACATCGATCTAATCCATTTGCAAAAGTTGTCGCTCAATAAAAATTAACTCCGAACTGGTCAGACTAATTCGTAAATGTAGTTCGAACAACAACTTATCTACACTTTCTCATATTTTGTCATTCTTAGTGCTTCAAATAATTAACGATACTCTCCTTCATTCAGCATGCCTTTAGAATATAATATATAAGATAGAAATAATGATTGTTAAAATCAAAGGAATAGTCAGTGACTCGTCGATGCAAATGTAATGTATTTCATTTGACAATGCGAGAAACTTTTGTTCGTTAATAAGGCTAATCGGAAGCACCGATAGTAACGCTAAGCAGTCGCTTCGCTATCCTTCCTCGCGATCTAATCGATCCGTTAAAATTTCCCTTGCGTTCCAAAGATCGCATTTGTTATCTTCTAATCTTTGTCTCTGTATCGTACAGACACGCACAGACACACAAGAGATACGTATGCTATACTATATAGTATAAACGAGCAGACGAACGACGTGCAATGTATACGAATGTCCGGTGACGCTCGCGTTTCAACCTTGCAAATGGAGAAATGGCTTATCAAGAAATCATCCGCGTCTGTATTAGAAAATTATTCATGCACACATTGTTCGCGCAAAATTCGACTTCTGTTCCTGTACAAACATATTCTCGTAGAAACATGTATAACGGATCGTATTGACGGGGAAAAACTTATTCAGGGGTAAATAAAGGGATGACTTATATTAGAAGAAAGCCGAAATTCACAGCTGCGAAATGTGCGATTATTTGGCATTAAGAGAAAAGATACCCCGCAAAGCCTAATACCTTCGAGCAATTAAGGTTCGAAGCCATGTGCGGAGGCGGAGACAATGTCTCAACGGAGATGGTAAACAGGATAATGGTATTTATTTCCCAAGATGAATGAGATAAGCAAGAAAAAAAATTCAAATGGACAGAAGAAGAAAAGCTAAAGATGATAACAAATCAAAATGTAGGAAGAATGTTAGGTAGAAAGAGTGGGTGCATCTCATTAGGGAATCTTTAGCAAAAAAGGATTAAAATAAAAAAAATTGAAATTTAACAAAAATATTAAAAATAAAAAAGATATGGGATATGAAATATACTTTTTAAGTGTTTAAGAAATTAATGTACCTATATTAATTTCTTGAATACTTTTGCGAAGTCTTTTAGATATCCAAACATTGTGATTTTCTTTACAACTAATTAATTTTCTCTCAAATTAATTGTAAAGAATAAATAATCATCACAATCTGTACAACATTGCTGAAAATAGAACTAAGGATTTGTAACAAGCGTTTTATTTTTTTAAAAGTCTCGAAACTTAAAACGTAACAGGATCTCCTCAGAAGACTTTGCATGGAATCTATGTTGGTTTCACATTTGGATACCTAAGAGTTAAGAAAATTGCGGTCGAGGTATAAGTATTTCGGGGACATTCTGTATAAAAAGAAGTATATTGTGTAGTCTGCGTATAGTTGTCTCCCTTCCGCTGTGAGATACAAAAGAAATGATTCTTGTAAAAACAAGTGTAGGCAGGTACTGTGTTATGTTTCGCTGGAATTCTTTTCGATTGCTGTCTCGCTATTTTGCCCTCCAAGGGTCCGCGATTAACGTCGGTCGCCGAGTTCGTGGGTTTGACGATCTCATCTAAAATACTTTCATGTGTTTCATGAGTTTCGATTTCTTCGAACGCTTTTTCACGGAAAATCGCTACTTTTAACATTGTTAGTTATTCAACTATTCTCTTCCCCGATAGAAAAGTGTGGGGTCTTTGCGCATATCGACACTCGTTCCTTTTAGAAGAACTTTACGAAAGATGGAAGTCCTCTCTGCACGAGTTATTCATACTGTTATTTATACGGTTATTTCTTTTTAACAGGTGTAAATGATATGAAAAACGTCTTGTTCTGTGGTCTATCGATAGCGGTCTACATTTGACGATAAGTCGGCGCAGTACGAGTTAGAATCTTGATATGTGCGGAACACAATATACGAAATATCAAAAACTCCTTATAATGAAATTACAAAGTTCAAAATATATAGGCTCTCTCTCTCGAAAGGTCCAACACTGGACAAATAATCGCGTTGGAAAACGGCATTGAAATAGGCCAACTGTTGTGATTTCTACCAAATTGTACATCTTGGCTTTCCCATGATCTCCGATGCAGATCTAACGCCACATGAAACAATCTATATTAATATAATAACTATGTTAATATAATAACTATTACGCCCGACACAATGAGGATATTAATGGATCCTCGAAAATACGTATGAATGCGTGAACCGAAGAATTTCAATATAGTTCAAATTTTTACGGCAAAATATGTGAAACCCGCATGTCAATAATGGAATAACACTGATTCCCTGCGCGCATGTAAGCGGATTTTATTACATTTATCATGCTCTGGTACATGGATTCTCTTTCTTTATATAATATGCTAAAGTATATGCCAGTATATAAAGGTAGCTAAGAATTTGACACATATTTAAATATCATCGTATCTTCATAACTTCTTCATAACTTGAAACTCAAAAGAGAAATATTAATATATTGCAAAAATTAATGAGAAAATCTTATAAACAATCAATTGTGTTTTAAATAATGAGATTTAAAATGAGAATGGAATATCGAATTGAGGCATTTTATCTGTTTTTCCATGTCCATTATAACTGTCACTCTGTCGTAAAACTCCAGGAACGAGTGCAATGCAATTGACAGTAATAAAGCGCATGACTTTCTACGTTTAGTCTCTAAGCGCCGGTCACGATAAGGATAAACGACTTGCGTCGCAAATTTCGCAAAGTTGCCACAAAATAACTCTGCAAACGTTACGCGGCTCTTTGCAATGTAGTACGACACACATTACATCGAATGCTGAGAAAATAACTCTGTAAGAGAGATAAGGACACATTTGAACGTTAGGCCATATTTAAACAATTCAAGTATACGGCAATAGAAAATTTTCTTTAGGTTCTTAAGTGTTCTTCAAAAGCGTTATTTTCGACAAGCGTAAAAAGACGCTGAAAATCTTTTATTGGAGGGGCGTGATATTCGAATTGTTTAAAATTGTTTATTGCTCAAATGTATCTCCTTCTACTCTACTTTACGTCCGATAAATGGACAACTCCTATACATAGAAAAACCTAAGGGTTTGCCTCTTGTTTTCTCTTCGTATAAGAGCAGCGCAATTATACGTTGGTTGTCTTTAGATGTGCTCTGCGTCTTAGTAGTCTAATCTCAAAATAATTTATCTCGCACCTTCGTACGTCGAAAGCTTACGAGGCCTTTATATTTCATCGCGCGCGCGTGTGTAGCTTCTTTTTTTTCTCTCATATTGAAATACGCGCGATGTCTCACCGACATTGCATATCTTGTACATAATATAAATGCATGAAGCTCCCCCGTCGTTCTTTAGGCGCTGATTCCTGTTTTGTGCGTGTGGTAATCAGATAGACGTCATTCCCGTCGAGGAAAGAAGCGGAACCGGAAGAACGCGGCGATTTACAGGAGGGCACAGGCGGTGCCGTGCATCACCTCGGAGATGAACATCGGCGTACCGGCGCTGAGGCCGCCGTCGCCCTTCCCTTGCTCGCCCTTGTCGTAGTCGCAATCGAAGTAGTGGCTCTGGAACAGAACGCGATTAACGGTGATACTGCTTGTACCTTTCGGAACTTCAAACATAAAATCGCGAGCCGAGTCAACAAAAAACTGTTATTTGAGTTATTTCAATCAATCATTCCAATTTAAATTTATCTCTTTTTCTGTCAGTTTTATTAAAAAAAAAATGTTTTTTGACAATTTATATGTTTTGTTATCGGTACAGTTTGAATTATCGAGACTTGAATTTATATGAAATATATATCTCGAATAGCGGAAACGTGTTTTTAGAAATGTACCTGGCAATCCAAACATCTGCAATGATCGCTCATTTTGCAAGTTATGCCCCACTGCTTCGCCATTGCCTTGTAGAACTCTTTGCTCGATTTATGAAGTATCTTCGGTCCTTTGGCTGCTTTCCTGTCCCCACCCCCAGGTCCGCCACTTCCATCGTCACCCCCGTCACCGTCTTCGTCGTCTTCCATGCTCTTTTCGTTACTGGGAACCTGCTTCTCCTTGTCCCCCTCCTTTGCGATAGCTGATGATTCCATTCGTGTCTAAATTGCAATATTTTTGTGATTGAGAAAGACCGAAAAATGATAAGAACAGAGAATGTTAAACTTCGGGTTGATAAGATTCCGAAATTTTGATAAGTAAGAAATTACGAAACGACATTTCGCACGCACATAGAGTGATTTAATGTAGCGTGCAGCCTGTGGCGAGTGATCGCTACTGGCAACAGCTGTACGTGTGACACGACTGTTTGTTACATTGTGATGTATGGACAACGTCGCGCGAATTATCGCACGACGGATCACACGAGGTCCACGTGTACACTGTTAATCCCGCAGGTTGCATTTTCCATCAACGAGCTGTCGTAGATATCGACCTCGGGACGCTTCGAGCCGCATATTTCGCGTTCCACGATATTCCGTCCTGTATAGAATTAATCGAGCGCATTGCTACACGTAATCCTCGAAATTGAACGCGGGTCGCGCAAACAGCTCTCGGTTGACACGATCAAAAATGTCGAGTATGTTTTTTTTTATCGTCATCCATGCGATACATAATATCCGTATCGAAAACGATCAATAAAATCTCCCATCCGAGGTATGGCGCACTCACCTCTTCGAGAACGTGCTCGTACGAGGGCGGAGGCGAGCTGGGAATCGTCTGCTCGTTCCTAACCGACAAACAATTCTTGTCCGTTTCCGCCTCGGGTACATCCGCAAACTCGTCTGTACCCGACGGCAACGACTGATTAATTTGCCGTTGCTGTTCCTCGGATTCCACGCTGTTGCTGCGACTATCGCCGGAGCTGCGCGATTTCAGCATCTTCGAGAAACGGAGCTTGAACGGCGCCAGCTTGACGAATTTCTTCGTTCTCGTGGCCTACGAAAAGGACGGAGATCGTGTTTTCATTTGCGAGATGAGTCTTTCATCGAGAAACCATTTCGCAAGTAACGGTAGTATCCGAGGATTCACGTGGATATAGAGTGAAATATTCGTCCTACATTTCGAGCCAACTTTTAAATTAACAACTGCACAATTCTGAATCAATCAACGTGTAAGAATTTAAGGAAAAAACACGCTGAAAAGAAAGAAGTGAGAGATGTATTAACTTCGATAAAAAAAAAGGAGTATTATAATAATTAAAATAAGAATGAGAGATTCGATAAGAACAAAAGCAAAAATTTTAAGTATTGGAGATTAGTATACGGGCCACAGATGTAAGGAGGCGAAACAAAAGTGAAAATTTATTCTTCTTAGATCGATAATAATTTCAAATTTTTTGATTCGAGATAGGTGACTCGGCTCGGGACGAGAATTTTACTCTATACCCGCGAGATCACGCAACTGCACCGGATGCATCTGTCGTTGACCTACTGACCGAGTTTGCGGATATTGGCGGTCGACGTACCGCCGCCACTCGACTTGGTGCATTTGCGGCCGACTTTACAGACGCGAAGCTTACCCCGCCCTTAAGCTCCTTCCGGAAAGGAGAGGCCGATGGAATCGAGGACGAGCCCGAACGATGATTCTGGCACGTTGTGCCGCTCGATATTATCATTTTGATTCGATGCGGCGCGCGAAAATAATATTTGCCGTCGCTGTTAGTTGTCTGCTTCAAATAAAATATAAGATCAGCTTTCTGAATTATTATTAAAATATTGTTATTAGTATTGTCACATGCGATGCGCGGGCGTTCGTACTTCAATCTAGATGATCAACTGAATTTGCCGGAGACCATTATTAATTAACTGAATTTCGTTAGTGAGCGTGATGGATGAAGGATAACAAGATTCCGAATTTTGTGTTGCGAGCGGGCAAACCCGGGGTAAACACAGAGAAGATTGAAGTGCCAGTCTTCATCGCCGTGCCAGAGAGCAAAACCGCTAGATAAATCGATAAGCTAATAAAGATCGAGCTAGAGATCAACTTCGATCGTATCTCGCATATCTCCCGCAAGCCGCAAGTGGAGTAAGTCCTACTTAAGGTCAGACCTCCTACCGACCGCGACCGCGACATTCAAATTGTGTCACGGGATCCTTGCGGTTGACAAAGTCACAGGAACAATAGAGTACGGACGGTTTTCCAATACGTATATTCGCAAGTGGAACATACCTATTTGTGGTCGGACGTGTCGCGATGCCATAAATGGCGGCTGTTGTTAGGATTTGGCGAGTGATGAAGATTACTCGGCAGTTCGGACAATGCCGTTTCCCGCGACGGAATTGCATCTCTTTTCCTCCCGCTCTCGCACGCGGGAACATAAGGACAGAATTATACAATCCTCAGCGTGCAATTGCGGCGAAGAAAATGCGAAGATTAAAATTGAACCACGCTTGAACAAAAAGTAACGAGCTCTATTTAACAACTCGAGGAAGCCGAGAACTTTAGCTTAACTTTAACGGAGTATTAAGAAAATTTAACGAAAGTTTTATATCAGTTGCAGCGTGGATGAGAAAACTTGCTTATTAAGCATGTTTCATTGCATATAGTCAATTCCGAGGACGTTCGATTATCAAAAAATTCAATTTAATTACGCAAAACTCGACCGCACGCGCGTGAAGTGGCCAAGTTTTAATCGGAATGCAAAATGTAACTCGGGCGAACAAACGGACGAGCGTAAAACTCTGATGAAAAATTCCATCTGGACGGAAATCACCGCTCAACGGATAAGATAGACGGATAGGGCGACGTTTTATCGTACAAATGAAACAGGCGACAAAGTAGGTTGCATCGGTCGGTGGGGCGAGAATCCACGCGTTTCCATCTACCCTCTCGCTTCCTTCTTTCCCTCCCCCCTTTTCCCCTTCTGTTGCGCAGGACTGGACGGCGTGTCAGTGGCCCGAGCTGGTACCAACGCACTCCCATCCTGGGCCAACACCTCTCGTCCTAGTTTCCTCCTCGCTTGGCTTCATCCACCCCTTGGTACTTTCATCCCTGTCCAGAGGTGCCTATCAACCGACCCCTTTCTCTCTCTCTCTCTCTCTCTTTACTTGGCAATCTCCCTGCGGGTGTATATCTACGGAGAGTCGCGTCCATCTTCCGCTCGGTGCATTTTTACTCATTTCTCCTGTTTTCTCGTTCCATTACGATAACTTAACGTGTTTACATCTCAGTCTTGCTGGGAACGTTTCGGCGTTTGTAGATGCACGATATTTCCGCTATTCTTTCCTTTTTTTCCTTTTTTACGCACCTCATTTGCAGTTTCTAACGAAAATTGTGAGAAGACTGCCACTCATATCGCATGATTTACGTTCAATCTTCTCTATGCTTATAGACGCCGAGCAATTTGAGTATATTACATAAGTTAAATAACTTGAACTAATCATTGCTGAGTGATCTACCGTGAGATAATATTAACAAAAGAGATATATTATAATTGAAATTTTTTCGCTATAATACGCCGTTTTTCAATCAAATATTTGTTTAGCGCTAATTACGGGGCATAAATACGGAGTAGGCTTTATGAGGACGAGACATGAGAGCTGTTTGAAAAATCGTGGTGGACGACAATCGTATTGTGCGATCTTATTAAAACTTTTTCGGAGTGGCAGTTAATGTCAGGCTCTTAATGAATATTCCATCAAGCACAAATTGAAGAATAATTTACGAAGGCGATCATTGTTCGTCTGTCGTGATGATTAATAGATATCACATCCCGGTTGTGATGTATCAAACTGGGGGCTACGTAGATGAAAAAAGATTTATCCGTCAGTTCTCCCAATTCTAAGCGCGCGCGTCCCTGTCAGATTCTTGTAAACGAGGTCTCGTGGTTTTAAAAGCCCTGGGGGAACGTTCACGAGAATCCCCGAAATGGAAAGCAGGATTGTCACACAGGGCCGAGTAGACAAAGTGGCGCGACTCGTTAATGCATTATTCCATTTGTTTATCGTCAAATACGTAAGCGTTAAATATAAACGTTTTCATTATTATTTCGCGGCATGCCAGAAGCAATGCAGTTAACGCTTTGACATGGCATAAAAGTCGTTTGGAAACGAATGCGCAGTTTGAATGCACACGGGAAGACCCGCGATCGAATTGGGATTTTCAGCGCGGATCGTATTTTGTAAGAGATAATTGTGTCGCCGGCGGCGATGGAATGCCAGTGACACCCGATTGCAAAATTTCCAGTGGATTTGGGTCACTCGGTGTCCTAGGTTCGACGGTGCATTAATGACAGCTGCAATGTGCAATGCAAGTGAAACATCGCGCTCGGGGTATTCTAAAACTTCTTGCTGACAGCCCCAATCATTCATTTCTTATTCAACCTTCATAATTTATGTTACAAATATACGAATGGTAATTTTCTTATCAAAATACGAGGGAAAAGTATAAGAAGCGAACGTACATAGCGGAACGTTTTTCATCGTTTAATGTACGTGTAATGGAGAATTCAACATTATGTGCGATGGCAGATATTTGACATTCCGATATCCGACGGAAGAACGTGCTTTCTACTCCATCTAACGAGATTTCTCTCTCGAATAAAAAAATAAATCTATATCTATTGAATATCTATTGAATCTGATTTCACACATCAAACAACAGATGCAGCGTGAATCTTTCGTAATAATCCTTGTTAATGGGCACCTTGGTGAATGGTCCTCTAAAATATCAACGTCTCCACATAATGCGCTTTCAACAAGCAACAAATATCACAAACTATTCTGAAACAATCGAACGATGCTTGACATTGTCGGATGACGTTACGCCATTGGCATTGCCCGCCACATCATTTACCTATGTCTGAATGTCTCGCGCCATCGACATGAAACACTCTCTATTGAAACTTTTCGCGTCTCCGGACCGTAGGGTGTCGAGAACACGCTGACACAATATGTTAACGAATGGGAACAATCGCGACTGCATAAGTTGCGTGGTCGATCGCGCGTTCAGCTGAATATTGTGTTTGGAAATGACTCTCTTTGTCGTAGCTATTTTATTGAAATATTTAAACTAATTCTTGATTTCTATTTAGCCATTAAAGACAATCGTTTTATTTTTAGGACATAAATTTCATTATAAACAAAATCATTTTAATGATAAGTGAGGAATGGTGAGAAAAATGAAATAATAATAACAATGAATTTTATTCTCTACAACATATATAACAATACAAAATAGATACTAGTAAATAAACGGTGCAAAATTGACAAAATATTGTTCAAATGGTTCAAAATGGTAATAATTGTAAAAATAAAACATAAAATTTGAAAAGGCGAGATTAATATCTAACAAATTTCTGAAAAATCATCAAAAATCCTGCTTGCGAATGAAATGTGTATATGGAAAGAAGAGATTTAGATAAGAACATCGGAAGGAAGTTCATAAATTTTCCTTTTTGTTTAATGCAAGTTTGAGGATATTGGCGTTCATTATCCTTTATAATTATGCATAGTCATTAATTATAAGTTCGTCCAACTATAAATATCTTAAGAGTACGGCGCATTTGAATTAAAGCAGATAGTGAACATATGAATAATAAATGTAACGGAGCGAGCAGTAAAATAAGAAGACGTGAAAGCGTCTCAGAGAAAAGAGTGATAAAAGCGGTCATTAAAGTCGACCAACAAATTATAGAGCACTTTTACGGCCGGTCAGATAAGTAAATTTACGCAATTTTGCATTATTTGCGCAACGTGAATAGAGACACCGATCGCATTAATTATAAAATATCGGCAAAATTGCAAACACTATAACTGATATATGTCGTCGTAGAGTGTACTTTTTCTCAAGAAAAACTTGATGGTCGACTCTTCGATCAATTTTGATCACTGTGTATCAAAGAGTATAAAGGAGGATATTTCCTGGTGAAATCGGATACACATCGTCATCAAAGGGTTCTAGGGAGAAAAATCCACAAGACCCAGTATCGACTTTGTCAAGCAACATAGCGATCTGATGGCATCCCTTCAATGGGATCTGCTTTTTTCACGAAAATACTTGGAAAAATTATATGATTACGCTCCAAGATTACGCTTTAATTATTTTATTTAAAATATAGTCTGGAATTATTAGTTTTGGAAATTACAAAAAAACATTTACCAAACCATTCCCTTTTTTCGATATAAAGAAAGTTTCTCTTCTGTTCTATATTTCGTGTATATTTTTATGCGGGCAGGCATTCACTCGAAAAAAACAAAGAAAACAATTTTTTTGAAAAATGATTTTCCATATAAATCCTCTTCTATATAATTAAAAAATGCATAACAAAGTTTCTTTTCGTAAGATAAGTTTTGAGAAAAGTAATTTAGGAACTTAAAATATTAATAATTTGTAATATTAACCATTACACCAAATTATTATTTAACGGGGACATTCGCGAATAATATTTAAAGGTTTAAATCAGAACATATCTTTTGTCGTAACTTAACGATAGTCGAGGAATATGTCATAAATCCGATATATCGACAGTGTAAAACGTGTATGTATGTTTATGCAACACGTGCATGGAAAGTGCCTCATTACGCACGCTACGCGTGCGTGATAGACCACTTTCCAGGCACTTGCAACATAAAATAGGGAGTGTAAGTCGTGTGTAAAGATGAACTTGTTACACAAATAACTATTTATTCGCATTTATACCGTATATTTTTGTATATTTTATGGTCTTTTGTCAAATCAAGAATTCACGGCGAGCAAGGAAATAGAAATTGCGTTTATTAATTATTACACTGACAAGACATCCATGCAGAATCTTTAATGCATCATCCGTATTGCTATTTCACCTACATTGTACGTGTCGGGAATACATATCGAGGATGCATTATCGCTTGCAACTGGATATCTCGGTGGAAAGCACGTCTCGAGGTTTCTCGCGAGACGCCTTCGATCGTCTCGTACTGAAAAGTTTGCGGGTCATTCGTCGAATTTCTGGCTGCACTTTCGTCGTTGTCAGAACATGTCACACCGCATGATATGCTTCAACGATCGTAGAGAAAGCTTAGCTCTATATCGCGATGATATGTTACATATACAAGGCGTAACGTTTCATGATCGCTATTAATCTTAACTCATGAGACAATCTTTTCCATATTATTAAGGTAGTAATCTTTGTTTTATAAATTCCGCGCATTTTTATAGTATATGAATGATATATTAACCCTCAATTAGCATACATGTGCTAATTCGCACCACTTTTTTTTCGTTTAGCACTTTATATATTTCAATTTTTCATATAAAAATCATTTCTTTTTCCTAAAAAAAAGTGCACTACTCGATTGTCAGGGAAATTTTACATAAATTTATATTAAAAATGACTGAGACACGACAGTTAAAAGTTGTCAAAATCTCAAATCGCACTAGTGTGGCATTTGAGGTGGCCCAACCGAGGTGTGCTAATTGAGGGTTAATACAAAGCAGATTTTGTAATCATAAAATGCAAATGTCCGCGTGAAAACAGTTTACTTGTAGCTTTGTAAAGCAAGTGAAATACGCAGACTGATTAATTTTAATTTATTCCGGATATGTGACCGACTTTAATGTTTGAGATGACGCGGCGATCCCGCTTAATACTTAATTCTGCATAAGCTTGCAATTGCGTTCGCTAGCGAATCTTCTTTAGCAATATAGATTGACTTTGGATTTGCCCGAGCGAATCTAACTGAAGAAAGAGCGTGGCATTTCTGACACACCCTGTATAGTTCCACACGAGAGTATATTTGCTGTTGTAAGTCGATACTACGAGGGTCGAGGAAAACAGAATTCACCTCCCTTGTCGATGGTTAGATGAGTAAGATGTCTGGCTTTTATTCAGGTCAGATTTGTGGGTGCTTTCATTCTAACGAAATAAAGCGAACAAACAATTCTAACTATATAAACGAGAACCCTGCTCTTCTTTAATAGGCATGAAACGCTATATAGTTTCATAAAAACGATTGAAAATGCGAGCGTTGTACGAATCAAGCTAATATCGGCAGATGAGATAAGCCTTCTGTCGCACGTGTTCTCAACGATGCCGTGACTTGTGTTTGTAATGTTATTTTTTTTTATTACATCTCACAAAACGGTGAGGTATAACAAAACATTTAAGACCTCTATAACTTTTCCGAGACGTCGCCGTTCGAATCACAATGCGTCCGTCACTCGTCGTCCGACGTAGGACGATAACGGAGAAACGTCCACGACGTTATCAACCCCCCTCGACGCGACATCTCGTGGGATATCGTCAGCGAGACGGATAATGTCAGAGCAGAACGATCACTTCCGGGAAAGGGACAGCGCGTAGGCGGTGGTAGCACAAGGGATGCAGCGGGGTGCAAATACAGATAGAACGCGACGTGTCGGGGGTGTCTTTAGCGAGAATACACGCACACCCTGTCGAAATATTCCGCTCTCCGCCATCGTTTTATTGATCGCCGATGTAGACACGCGTCTGGAAACACCGACGCAATTGTACATACAAGAGGATACACACACGCACGCACACACACACACATACATACATACATACACACACGTATACCATGTAACTCGCACGCAGGGCAGCCCGTACCTTGTCGGATAACACTCGGTCCGTTCAACGCGAATATTTCGTTTTAACGACGTTTCCGCGATGGATTTTTACATCCGCGAATGTCACATCGGCGCGGGATTCTCGCCGCGAATCTACTGTACTCACGTGATTTTTCCGCTTGCGCGTATTGCTGCGTTTTCTTGATAACAGTGGCACGGGCGTCCGGATGCGTGGTGGCTCGTGCGTAGTATCAGACCGCGACAGCCATGTTGGCAAAGGGGGTGTAGCGCCCCTAACCGGCCTGCCTCGAAGTACAAGTTCTCACCCGCTCTCTCACCCTCTTCGCTTGCGCCGCCTCCTCCCGTCCACCTACCCTCTCACTGCCGCCCACTTACCCTAGGCTGAATGAAATTTTCGATGCGCGAGTCATTAATCAATCGAGAAACTTAGCTCAATATATAAACATATCATAAAATAGGGTAATAATATCAGATGTCTTGAGAACACTAAATGTCTCGCAGCTTTTCTAACCGATCGAGGTTGTAAAAGTATTTTTTTTTTAGCAATGTTAAAGGAAATAATTTGTAACAATTTTTTAATTTTTAATATCGCTCGTTTTCGTAACTAAATTTTAAATTGATATTATATTAAAATAAATTCTATTTTAAATTAATTAAAAATTATTGATTCTGATTTATTATTTACTTTTTTTTTTAAGAAAGTTAATCAGATGCATTTTATTTATTTTACATGTCTTTATTTTGCTAGAAAGAAATCGAGTCTGAATTGACTAAAAAATCCATAGTGAAAATTATGTCCAGTGATTTCGAGACATTCTGTATGCATCTTTAAAATACTTTTTTTATATATTTTTATTAATTTCAATAATAATAATAATAATGAAAAGTTTGCAATTATTTTAAATGCGGTTTGCACGGACAGAAGAAAACTTTCTTTTTCTTCGTGATCGGAATGACTGCAAAAACAGTCGTTTTCACAATTGAAAGACGCTTTTTATAAGGAATCCTCCTTCTTGACAAATGCGATCGAGCATCTTGTGAGGGAAGGAAATCTCTAAATCTCCCCTTAGATGTGCAGTTACGCGTCGCCATGGAGAGACGCGCGCCATGGGAAACGTTAGAATTCAACCTTTCTTTGCCTTCCCGCAGAAACGATGAGATATCGGTTATGGATAAGGAAATCATGTTGATTTATTATATATCGGTCTTCTCCGCTATCGCTGACCTCCTCATTCTAGCTATTTTTATCGGTTGCCTTGCCAATTTATCCCTCTAACGTCTCCCAGAATGTCTCCCAGAATATCTGGAAGACGTTAGATGGGTAAACCTCTTATCATATAATCAGACTTGAGATTTCTCAAACAGAGTTCTGAATCTTAACGTTTCCCGCTGCGCGCGCCTCTCCTATCGTGTCAAAGCCTCCATATCTCTTCGTCTGAAATCCCGGTGGATCCTCGAGAATTCTGAATTTTAATTAAAATTTTATGACAGATGGGCGCGCACCGATAATAGTAGGAATCAAGATGTCGGATTGTTTCTCTGATGAGCAGTATGAAAAATTAATTACTTCTGTCATTCGTAAGCTGGCATCTGCGACACGTTTAAACACAGAGTGTCTTAAAATCATTTATACGGCCATTGCATATTATCTTTTCTTAATGACAATAAGAATGATCGTTATTTATTAACACAAAAATTTTCCAATCCTTAAGGGGATGCTGGAGACAGGTCTGTTTTACCACGAAATTTTCAGACACACAAATCTTTTGATTGATTTCACCGAATTAAAAATTTTTTGTCCAGAATTAAAGTATGGACGATAACGAAGACGGCAGGCACCAATTGCGTATGAAAAACGAAAAAAAATTAGAAAATTACATTTTTATTTTCGATTCTGCGGTCGACTCATGACAACATTTGCTGCAGATAAAAGTTTTAGACTGTGTACGTATACAAAAACCTTGCAGCCGTCACGGAAATACAATAAAGAAGAATCCTGTGCTTGCAGAAATGAGCTGCGAGCTTTAGTATAAGAGAAAAGTATGTTAGAAAATTTCATATGCACATGTTACGCGTCTCCCCGAATTCAGCCAAAAACTCTGCGCTCTGTATGTATATGTAAGAATCGATGAGCACTTCTTTATCGACGCTGGTCGAGTTTGCCTGCGCTCTGTATGTATATGTAAGAATCGGTGAGCACTTCTTTATCGACGCTGATCGAGTTCGCCCGCGACTCCAGCATCCCCTTAATATTCATTTTTATAATAAAACTTTAACCCGTTGAGGTCACACCTCCTAAAAGTAACATAGAGGTCACATGAGGTCCAATGGACCCCAAACTTTTTTTATTTTTTTCTTAAAAGTATACTATTTTGAGAGTAAAACGCAGGAAGTTTTTTTGCTCTATCTCAAAAAATTTTGATGAATATTGACCCCACAACAGTTGCCATTGGCATCCTTTTTGATGTATCGATTCAAACCTTGAACTGGAATTTAGTTTATGACTTCCTCTTTATAATCCAATAATTCTTTAAATTTTTTTATGTTGAAAAAACGCGAAAAAAAAATTTTTTTTCGAGAAATTTGACTCTTTTCACAAAAATATTTATCAAAATTTTTTGAGATAGAGCAAAAAAACTTTGTGCGTTTTACTCTCAAAATAATATACTTTTAAGAAAAAAGCCTGGGGTCCACTGGACCCCATGTGACCTCAACGGGTTAAACTCAAATTCCATGAAAGTCTATTTAAAGTTAACTGAGAATTAATTGCGCTTGATGGAGCACGAAATTTACTTTGGGAATAGAAAATATATAGATGATATGTACGAATAGAAAAGTACAATGGAAATAATTGTGTGAGAAAAAGACGCATGGTCCATTCGTCATGTTGTCATCGTAAAACATTAATATTTCATAGAAACGTCAAGGGCTATCTTCTTCCTCATCGCAACATCGTTTATTCATTCGTCTGATTATATATACAATATCGAGAATGAACTGATTAGATTGTATAGTTAATGTTTTTAAACTGTTGGTTTGACGATTACAGTTGTCAGATTTTCAATCTATTACTTTAATAGCATAAAAAAAGTATATATTAAAGTAACGTACTTTTTGTAAAAAATAGCTGTAGGAATTTTCTCGACAAGTGCGTACAACCGTACACCTTTTCTTTCTTTTTTTATTAGAGCATGTATACCGAGAGAAAAAACATCACTGTTGCGAAACATCGCTGCAGGAAAATCGTTAAAATCCAAATCCCCGATATATTGTTCTCATCATTGTGCCGGGGGAAAAAAAGGAAGAAGCGACGGCAGAAACCCAAACGGTTTTCGTACCGCTCGTTTCCGCCGGAGTTTTTATCGTTACCGATGTCGCTTTTTCGTGTTCGTTATATATTTTTCCTGTTCTCTGTCACGCCACCATCGCATCGCGCGATAACGTAATCGCTTGTGCGTCACGCAGGACGAATAAAGGTTGCCAAGACAAAAAATCCCGCTCTATCCGTTTCTCCGTCGCGAATTCTCGTTTTTGCTGTTTCGCCAAATTGTTAATGAAGCCCTCGAGAGTGGGCCGGTTATCTAACGAAGTTCTAAACTCGAATTGTTAATCACACGTGATAGGTAAGCCTGACATACACGGTTCTTCACTGCTGGTCTCTAATAATGTAATCAAGCGCGCGATAATCAACTTACTTTTGTGTTCGTCAAGTTGGCCCACTAATAATGTATAAATTTCGATGTATATTAATGAGCTAAGTTGAGTTGAGGTACATCGCTTTGGGCAAGAAATCTAATCTTTATAGTATGATATGAAACAAAAATCTTTAGAAATAAAGAGGGTTGAATTTTATTCATTGACGCCGAGCCGCGTGTAACTTTCCCTTGAGGTATGGCAATTTCGGTACGTTGGCGTTGCTTCGCCGAAGCATTATAACATTCAGCTGTCAGGAATATTGCAGTTGAATCGCGCGAGTAATCGCGCCACAAGCTTCAAATGCTAATTAGTACGGGGAATTTCAGTTAGGAACATGAGCACCGAAATAACGACCATACCAACTACGAGCGTTGATTGAAGCATATCGGCGGTAGACATCGGTCGAAGCATCCTGAGATTACGATTCGGAAAACGCTGATTTCAGGAAAGACCATTGCGGGAGTGTATCGCCCCGCAGGGACCTTCTCCTATACTTATGTGGCGAATTTTGTTACTGGCACGTTAGCCACAAAGAATAGAAGTATACCGAGAAGCTTTGCACGCTTTGAACATACTTTGTGGTTTTTTTTTTTCCATTAAAGGGTCAGGCTATTATAAAAGTTCGAAAAAAAAATCTTAAACCAAGTACTTTGATAATATTAAAAAATAGAATAGATTAACAAATAATGTTTAATAAATTGCAACTTTCTAAAGATGGCTCTGATAATTAACAAATTTATCAATAAATATTGTTTCTAATTTGATATTTTTAGATAGATTTTTTATTTAGTAGTGAATTTTTGATCAATTGTTTAATTATTTTTATAAACAAGATAATTGTTTTCTTATAAAATTGTAATTTAATGAATTTAAAAGCATGTGTTTTTATTATTTTGAAAAATATCAGAATGTTTTTACAAACAGTTATGAGTATATAAGGAATAAGAAAAAAATTTATTTTAAATTACTCTAAGTTTAATTAGAGTCACTATCTAATTTGAACTTTTTATACACGTTATTTCCAAGAAAGTCAATAACTTCAATACATACTTTTCAATATTTTTGTATGAAAAATGTGGAATATAGATAGATAGTTTATATAAACATTTATAATATATTAAAACATATAAATATTCCACACATTCTTTAATTTTTAACAAGAAGATTTTAAATCTAATCTATTTTTTATTTTCATTATCTTATCTCTTAATGCAATATATTGCGATATCGTCAATGAATAAAGTCGCTTGTTTTTCATCAAATTCATTTTCATCAGTCTTCACGAGTTTCCACGTTGAAATTTCTCGACCTTTGTTCTCGCATTCGTCGATCCTCAATTTTCCCCGGACTTTGGCATTTCTCAAGTTTAATTACATTATAAGACTTTCGTTGTACATGATGTAACTGTGCTGCAGTTTGCGAGTTTTGTGCTGCTAGTACTTTCTGAAAGGTAGTATTCATTTCGAAACAAAACGGCTCAAGTATCCTTCATTTCTTTTGCTCTCGCTCTACTACAAGGCTTTCGGCCGTACTTGAGAGGTGGTACTGTCTTGAGAACCGATCGCGGCCAGCACGAGACTCGTTCGATTCTCATTAAAAGTGTACGGAACGAACAGGAGCAATGTTTCCTTTTATTTATACAATTTGATACTGATTTTTATCGATGCTCGTCGATTCTAATCTGAGTTAAATATTTGATGGAAAGTTTTAAACTTCCAAGTGGAGACTATTTGAGAATTTTATTCGGAATAATTAAGATATTTCCATAATGCATACAACTTTTTACAGATTTGTTTCTATTCTATAAGACAAAATCAATTCACAACACTTGAAACGCTATTTGACTTTTAAGACATTTTTTATGTCGAAAGTTGGTAATTCTTCACTTAATTAGGGCAATCTGATTTTGGTTTGCTCAAGATGCCCCTGCTTTGCTGCTTGGGTATATATTAACAGTTGTTTAAATATTGAACAGCTTGACAGATCGATAACGAAAATCGAGTCGAATCTGCTGCCAATTTGTCTTCATTATTTAGAAAATAATTTATTTTCCCTTTCAAATTACGCGTTGTATTTCGCGATCCACGTGAGCAATTTCAACCGTTGTTATGGCCAAATAATTCCGACCCTAATAGCGGTTTCTCGAAAAGTGGCGGTCTTGATACGCTCGCAAGGGCGGAATATCCTGGAAACCACGCTCAGAGAGTTTCAGCTCTTCAAAAAAAAGAGAGCTCGTGACATAAACCCACGCTATTTTCTCTTGCGATTGAAGCGCTGTCAAAAAATTTCCCAAATTCGGGAACACGCTCCTCTCTCGTTTTCCCGCTTTTCCTGGAGTGCGCGAGCCTCTCGCGAACGAGTCGCGAAGCGCACGCCACTGTCAGTAAATCGATGCGAGGGAGACGACGCGATTCTCACTCTCTGTTCCGCTACCGCCACCACCACCGCCGCCGCCACCCTCGCCACCTTCTCTCTCTCTTCGGTAATTTAAGCTCCGACTCGGTTCAGCTGAGTTCAGTTGCGCCACTTGGCCGTTGCGGTTCACGTGCCGTCGCAAGCTCGCGGAAGCTCTCTCGTGCGCGCGCAATTCCAAGACTGTCTCTTCTTTCTTTTTCTAGATTTACAGTTTGATTATCGTTTTTGCTCCTTTTTTATCTCTTCTCTCTCGAACCTTTTTCTTTTCTCGAGAAGTACATGAGGTGTACGTATTAAGAAAGGAGAAGACCCAGAGAAGAGTGCTGCAAGCTTTCAATGTTTCTTCTCCCGGAGGTCCACGATCGCCACAAGGTAAATAGGTAAAATAAACGTATCGCGTTACCTAATGGATAGTATACGAGAAGATCATTTCATGGATTTCTAAATTACGAAAGATTTAATGGGCGATTAAAATTAAATCTTTTTTAGCTAACGATTTAGTCGTATCTAATAATATTTGATACGATCGCGTCACTTCATTCACGAGCGCGACCCGCGCTGAGCACGCGGCCACACGTTTTTCCACATTTTAAAAATATTCCGTACGTCGTACATATATTTACTATATTTATTAATATTATTATTACTTAATTAAAAATTCGATAGTTCAAAGTTAAAAATTGTTGGAAAACGTTTTAAAAATTTAGAGTGCTTATGATTTATATTGTAAAACAACTCTATAGGTATTCATAAATACTTCCGACCATCATTTTGCTACGTGTTATTAAAACTTGAGATATATTTTAAAAATAATAACATGAAAAAAAACCATTAAATGTTCTCTTCAAATCTATGCAATTTTTACATACATATATATATATTTTGAACATTTTTAAAAATTATTTTTTTCTAAAAATAATAGAATAATTTTCTTCTAAAATATCTCTATTTTAAAGTGTCTTGTCTAATATGTTATATATGAGATGATAGTTATTTGAGACAATGGTTATTAAGCTAAATGGCAAAATTGGTATATGTACGGTTAACGGAATAATCAAATTATCGGCTGATAGCGAAGGGTCTTCATCAGAAACAATGAAATTTGCAGACAGATATAGTTATCTTCTTTGGAACATCGATTTCGTTCTGTGAGGAAAGAGCGCGAAACTTTCATATATCGATGGCACGCACGCCAATGAACCAGGAATCAACGATGCTCTCTCAGCTTCTGATTGGAACGTCGGTCGCGATCACGTAGGAAGGCAGCGTGTTCAAAGTTCTCAATTCATTTGTACGTGCCCGCTCGCACGCACTGAATGAAGGTATCCATGGCATTTGCGGTCGTATCCCGATCGCAATTCGTACGTGGTCATGGCAAATTAATACGTGGCTGCAAAATTCGAAAGCACATTGTAGCGAATGGTAACGAGTATAAAAAGAAGATATCTTTGTTTGAGCAAGGGTCGATAGGCAAAAGTTTGCCGAAGCATATTATTTAACTTATAACGATTATAGATCGTTACATTTGATATTACCCCATGCAAGATGCTGGCTTCTCCGCACGCCATTATTTCCAAGCGTGGATATTTTGCGGCGACTTTGAATAATTACTGATATGTAACAATCAGAATTACAGCAGCACTCTAATTAAAATCGCAATTATATGATATTAAACATCTCCCGCGCGGGGTATTATGAGTTTTAATACGCGGTAAAAGAGATATGTTCTCTTCGGTTGGAGAGACATCATCGAAAAGGGACTTTACAATTAATCACCGTTATAATATTGTTAATGCAAGTGTGATTACGACTGTACGATATTAAACATTGTTCACGTCGTCCTGTTGCCATAGAGCGACGAGCGTATATTATCGATGATGGCAAAGGGGCTCACGGCGATCAAAGAGCGCGCTCCGCTCAGCTAGGTACCTACCCTTTTAAGAGCGTGCGTCAGCTGCGGAGGGACACTCGGATCAACTCAACGACCCGAGTGCGAGCGACAAAAAGCGTAATTAATCACGCTGATTTCTCGCGCAACGGGTAGACAAGGGGATGGGCGCGGCAATTTTTCTTCTCTGATCGTCGCGCTTTGTTCGGCCGACCCGGACAAAGTTTGGCAGGCCTTCCGCGTGTCTATCCCAAGTTTGTTAAAGCTTGAAGCCCGAGAATTTCATTCGCGAACAATTTCAATCCACTCTGGGATTCCACCGCGAGCCCTTCGAACCGACGCCGACGGATCCCATCGCGGGAGGAGGGCTCGGCTTCGTCCGATAACACGCTCGTATAAATTAATTCCTCGCGAGATGAAAGGTTTTCGCGAGCTGCGGGATTATACGGCGTTTCGTGCCTCGATTTACCACCACCTCGGAACTTCGCCGTTTCCCGAACTCGTGGTGAGCAAGTTCGTTCGGATGAACATTTCGCCTGCCGCCAGCGAAATACGTTAACCCTTTCCCCCCCCTTAACTCGCATTATATCTCACCCAGCTGTTTCTGAGAGAGAATAAAAAGAGAGAAATTATTTTATTTTCTATTTACTTACTATTTAATTAGATTAAATAGTGTAAATCATATACATGTAGATATATATTATTATTTTTATAAATAAAAATTTATTTAAATTTATTTGTATTTAAATAAATTAATAGCATATTTTTCAAAATATGAAGTTATCTTGTGTTTATCCCAGTAATATTTTTATCGTGCTTAAAACTATTTGATAGAAATATCAACCAGGAAGTTGATTAAAATTTATTTTCGATTCCCTTCGAACTCTCTTTTACATTAATAATATACGTCTTTGTGTGACTTTTTAATTAAGAAAAGAGAAAGAAGCATCGCGTATGATGAAAAAGTATCGAATAACAAAAGCGAGGATGTGTTATCTTGTTGCGGAATTCGATTCTGCTTTCTTCGTAAATCAGGATAAAAATAAATTGACGTTATACCTTACGACAGTTTATAGTTTCTTCTGAAGTTTAATAAAAAACTTGATATTATTTTTTGCTTTGACAAAAGAATATCACACTTGACATTTTCACCATGTTGAAGGTTCATCTTATTAAGTAAACAGTTATCGAAACAGTTTACACGATATCAGAAAGAAACTTACATGGATTGTAATAGAGGTGATGTAATATAAAGTTAACTGCGTTTTTCCGCGTTTCCGCGTTTCAGAAAAAGAGAAAAGAAAAAACATACCTATAAACTTAGTTAATGTTGGGTCAGCGTATAACAATTATAATAGTATAATATAGTTGTAATATTTTCTATATAATTTATATGACTTCTGAAATGTATTCATCATACGAAAAATCTCAACATACAGTCGCTGCCGTCGCGGCAAGAATTTAAATGAACATCCAGGAGATGTGTATCCGCCGGTATTCCAAGGGTTAAGACCCTTCGACTTTCGTATTAAACTCTGCTCGGTAGGCGAACATACATAAAAAAAAAACGAATAAATTTCACAGTCCGAAGGATTTGCCTTTCCACTTGAAACATATCCTTCGCAAATCTTTATCAAACTTGAAAAACAGGGGTTTTAATATTTATGATTTGTAATAATATTGCAGTTTATAGAATTATTTGTTGTTGTTGATATACAATTAGAAAGGAATAATACGAAAAAACAGTATCAAAATTTTGGAATAAAATTTGGAATAAAAATTAAAATTTCTACATACCTATACTTATTTAGTTTTGTTCTTAAGAAAATCAATTCTGAAAATCAGAAAATTAATACCTTATTGAAGCTCATATAATTTACATAATTTACATTAACATGAATTTTTCAACGCTATTAAAACGCGAGCAGAAAATTCTATTATTCTATTTTACAAAATAATAAATAATATTTATGTCACCACAAATTATATTTCTGTAAAGTTAATTGAAATTATTTCTTGAATTATTTCCATATTTTAAATATTAAACAAAATATTACATAAAAAAATGTTATGCTACATTTTCATTTATTCTTTCTTTATGCAAAATCATCCTTGCATATAGTATTCTGGAAATATTCTACCATCGTTCCTATCAGATTTCTTCGCTCTACTCACTCATACACTTCGCGAGTTTCGCGAATGTCATAAAGCAGTTCGATGAAATCGCGAGGGAAAACGACGCGGAAAAGAATCGGACGGATGCATCGGGAAAAAGAGAGAGAGTCGCGTTCTGAAATTTATTCTGGTTTTCGCCATTCCTGTGCCATTCCCACATCGTCTGCGCTCTATTCTAAAAGTCTCGAAGGGCTTTTACCGGGGTGTCGGCTAAAATTTCGCGGGACGCGAGCTCGATTTAAGTGCCAGATGTCAAGCGCGCGAATACGACGACGTATCTTTATCCGACACGGACTAGATAAGTATGCGTGTGCTTTGCACGTCAGAGAGCCTATAGACTCTATAGAGCGATATACATATGTATATGTACGTGCGCAGGAGAGTTCTCTTCAAATGTTCCAATCGATGAAAATTTTGGGATCGAACATGTTTTAACAGCGATGATGGAATTCGATTTAGATGTTGCATTCAGACGTTACATCTTTCAATTTCGAAGGCATTTATTCTGTATCAACATTTCTTCACCGTTATATCGCGATTTACTGGACGTTACATATGTATATATATATATGTATATATTCTCTGCAATTTTCCGAGATATTCGTAGTACTACATATATATATATATATATATACACACATATATAAGTTGCATGTTTTCCATTTCCCGTGCTTGATATCTCAATGATATGTCCAGCTAGTGACGCTGTCGTTATATCGGGGCTCCCGTCGTTATTTTAATTCAAAATCACCAGCGGCAGATATTTCTATCCCTTAAAGGTTCATCAGTTATGCATGGAAATAGCGGCGGAAAAAATTGATAATCCGAGCTCTTCGCAAATTCCGGGTGCACAACCTCGACGCAATCGCGACATCATACACCCACGCATGATAATCCCGAGATCCTCGCCAGGCAACGGCGTGCAACGCGCGGTAATATATGCGCTGACGCGTTCCGTATTGAAATCGACGTCGATTTATCCTGACTTCTGTTTAATTGATGCAGTTTAGCTCGATACGCGGTAGATTTAATTACGTGTGTCGTTTGCTCCGCGAGCGATTTCCTCAGTTAGACAGAACTTTGCGTGGCGTATCTCGTGCCCTTAAATCTCTGTCTCTGAGAATTAGCCGCTATTTAACTCGGAGAATTACGTTTATTGCTTTTTATGCTCTCCTTCGCTCCCCCTCCCTCCCTCTCTCTCTCTCTCTCTCTCAAATCTCTTGAATCCCAGGAAATTTACAAGGGCAGTAGGCGCGACGATTACAGGAACGTTTAATTTTAGAAATTACGAGACCAGCGAATTAAGCCT